TCAGAATTAAAGTATATTCATAAAAATATAACTCTAGAAGAATTAATATCCAAATATAAAAATTAAAACTAAAAAAATACATAAAGAACATTTTAATTATGATTTGTTACTATGAGACTTGATTTTTTTAAAAGATAAAAAATTTGTCCTCCTGAAACTAATTTTTTTGTATTCAAAAGAAACTCTGAATAAGTTTTTTGAAACTCACCTAAAGACATATCTTTAATATATAAAATAAAATTTTAATATCCTTAACGAAAATATAGAATGAAAACTGATATATAAAAAAGTAAACAATTCGACAAAAAATAGGCAAAGTTTATGAATAGAAAAATACACAGAAGTCAGAATAATAAGTAATAAACAAACACGAAAAGATCTTCAACATAGTGAGTGGTTAGAGAATGGTATATATGAAGGGGTTTTCACTTTTATGTTAGAAGGAGTGTGAATTTCTACAGACTTTTCTGAGAATTTAATATATGTATAAATTGTTGGCAATATATGTTCCAGGCATACATTGTTTTATTGCATTTTGGTTGACTTTGCTTCACAAATACTGTGTTTTTGTTTTCTTTAGAAATTGAAGTTTTGTGGCAGCCCTTTGTACGGCAAGTATATCGGCGCCATTTTTCCAACAGCAAGTGCTCACTCTGAGTCCCTATGTTACATTTTGGTAATTTTCAAAATATTTCAAACATTCTCATTATTTTATTATATCTGTTATGGTGATCTATGCTCAGTGATCTTTGATGTTACCATTGTAATTATTTGTGGGTGCCATGAATCACGCCTATATATGATGGTAAACTTAATTGACAAATGTTGCGTGTATTCAGACTGCTCCACCAACTGGCTGTTCCCCCTTCTCCCTCCCTGTCTTTGAACATTCCTGTTCCCTAAAAGTACTAATATGGAAATTAGACCAATTAATAACTCTACAATGTCTTCTAACTGTTCAAGTGAAAGAAAGTCACATGTCCCTCACTTTAAATCAAAAGCTAGAAGTGACTAAACTTAGTAAGGCACATCTAAAGCTGAGATGGGCTGAAGGCAAGGACTCTTGGGCTAAACAGTCAGGTTGTGAATGCAAAGAAAAGTTCTTCAAGGGAATTAAAAAAAGGGCTACTCCAGTGAACACATGAGCACGTAAGTGTTCTTGATGATATGAAGAAAGTGTTAGTAATCTGAATAGAAGATAAACCAGCCACAACATTCCCTTAAGCCAAAAGCTAATACAGAGCAAGGCCCTAACTTTCTCCAATTCCGTGAAGGCTGAGAGATGTGAAAATGCTGCAGAAGGAAAGTCTGAAAGTAGCAGAGATTTGTTCGAGAGGTTTAAAGAAAGGTAAAATAGTGTAAGCTGAAGCAGCAAGTGCTGATGTAAACGCTGTTGCAGGTTATTGAGAAGATCTAGCTAAGCTAATGGATGAAGGCGGCTAAACTAAGTAACAGATTTTCAGTATAGACAAAACATCTATTAGAGACATGTAGGACTTGTATATCGAGAGAGGAGAAGTTAATGTCTAGCTCTAAAGCTTCAAAGGATGAGCTCACTCTCCTGTCAGGGGCTAATGCAGCTGGTGACATCAGGGAAAAGCCAATGATCATTTACCATTTTGAAAATTCTAGGGTCCGTAAGAATTATGCTAAATCGATTCTGTCTGTGCTCTATAAATGGAACAACAAAGCCTCAATGACAGCACATTTGTTTAGAGCATGATGTACTGAATATTTTAAGCCTAGCATAGAAACCTCCTGCTCGGAATGAAAGGTTCCATTCAAACTGTTACTGCACACTGACAATGAACCCTCAAGAGCTGTAATGGACATGTACAAGGAGACAACATCCATTCTGTAGCTAATGGGTCAAGGTGTAATTCTGATTTTCAAGTCCTATTATCTAAGAAATATGTCTTATAAGAATGTAGCTGTTTCCCTAATGAATATAGTGATTTCTCTAATGAATGTGGGAAAGGTAAACTGAAACCTTCTGGGAAAGATTCACCATTCAAGATTCCATTGAGAACATTCATGATTCATAGGAGGTAGTCAAAGCTTCAAGACTTCAGTGGAGAAAGATGTGGTAGAAACTAGTGGAGCCTGAAAATGATGACTGATGGAATCATCATGAAACTTGAATGGATGAGGTGCTTCTTACGGATGAGCCAAGAAAGTTTCTGGAGATGAAATCTACTTCTGGTGACGATGCTAGGAACATTGTTGAAATGACAGCAAAGGATTTAGAACATGCCATAAGCTTGCTTATAAAGCAGAGGCAGGGTTTGAGAAGAATGACTCTAGTGTTAAAAGAAGGTCTGCTGCAGGCGAAATGCTATCAAACAGCGCCGTAAGCTGCAGAGATATTTTCTGTGAAAGAAAGAGTCCATTGATGTGATAAACTTCGCTGCTGTCTTATTTTAAGAAATTGCCACATCCAGGCTGGGCATAGTGGCTCTTTACCATAATCCTAGTTACTCAGGAGGCTGAAGTGGGAGGACTGCTTGACGTCAGTTTGAGACCAGCCTGGGCAACACAGCAATACCCTATCTCTAAAATAAGAAATGAAAAAAATTTAGCTAGATGTGGCGGTATGTGCCTGTAGTTCAGCTACTCAGGAGGCTGAGGTGGGAGGATCCCTGGAGCTCAGGAGTTCGAGGCTGCAGCGAGCTATGATCATGCCACTGCACTCCAGCCTTGTTGACAGACTGAATGAGACCCCATCTTTTAAAAAGAAGAAAAGAAATTGCCACATGCATCCCTCCCATCCTATGATTTGCAACCACCACCCTGGTCAGGAGCCATTCATATTGAGACAACACCGTCCACCAGTGAAAAGATCATGATTTGCTGAAGTCTTAGATGATCATTAGCATTTTAAACAATAAAGTATTTTTACATTAAGGTATGCATTTTTTTAGACATAATGTTATTGCATACTTAATAGCCTCTATAGTATAACTTTTATATGCACTGGGAAACCAAAAAGTTTCTGTGACTTCCTTTATTATCAGGTTTCTTTTAGAATATCTCTGAGTTATGCCTGAAAATATTGTATCACACACACACACACCCGTACCTTTGAAAAATCACAGAAAAACGCATAAGATGACATTACATGAAACAGGCAGTTGATACTGGAATGCAGAATAATATATTACTTTTTCTTTATATCTTTACATTATTTGAATTATTAAACATGCATCACCTTCCAATGCATGTTTCAATGCATGTTTGTTTAAATTGCTTTTCAAGTTATCATGTATAAAAAATTATTTAAACATGCATAATTATATAGCATGTACCATACACATATGTACATGAGTACCAAAAGTGATGTTATTTTCAAGTAAGTGCTTAAATTTTCTATTTTATGATAATTATTGTAATCATTCTGCTGAAAAGAATATATTCGAGAAACTAGATACTAGTTACATGATTCTTATTTATAACCCCTCAAAAAAAGAAAGCACATGGGTTTCAGGAAACCAAAGGATATTTCCTGAAGGCTATATTTCCCTGATCTTAGAATTGACATAAAAAAATACCGAACAAGCACCTGTTTCTGTAGGTCTTGGAACAAGGACTACACACAACCTATTGGAGACATAAAGACTATAGACCACACTTCTCACTCGGGCTAAAGGAAAAGAGCGATATGCTAGAACATCCTAGCGGATGTTCCATGGCTTTTCCCTGATACCAACCCTCTGTATGGTCCTGGGAGAGGCCATGTCCTCAGACTGCCATGTGTGAAAATAAGATTTCTTTGTATTGTTTTCTTAAATAACATTCCCCAAATTGTATCAGTTTCAAGCTCTACAAAATCTGATGTCCAGTGTGAAAGTAAGTGCAATCACAAAGAGCTGCTTTTTATCTAAAGGCATCGTTATCATTATACACATAGTATTTATTCTTGAAGAGGTAAACTTTATTAGATATCTATAGCCATTTGTAAAACTAATATTTTGTGTTTGGTGTACCCGAGTGAATAGTGAATTGTTTCTAAGAACTTTAAAACAGTCTGTCCCAAAGAACAAATGTAGGATCAGTCCTTAATGAATCACAGAGGAGATATACTGAACACCTGGACAAAAAGTGTAAATCCAAATTCAGCAAGACTGGCATGGAAGCAGTAAAGAAGTGCTCACTGGCCTAGAGAGAAAGATGTCCTCACTTAAGATGAAGTTGGTCAGACACGCAAACAGGAACAGGAAAGCCACAGCAATAAAAGCTAGTGTTAACACTACAAACTGTCAAGGGGAGACGATGGCAGATTAGCCAATGAACTTAGATGTCATATACAGATGGGTGAACAGGTTCATAATGAACATACCTGACATATTTCTGAATCCACTAGGCAAGACACCCATCCTCAGAAACAAAAGGGCATCAGACTAATTTAGCTTGATTCCATTCGGACATGTAATTTATCTAATCCTCCTTGTTGTAATTCCATGTTCACCAAATAAACTTTTTATTGCTACTTGGCTTCCTAAATGATTCTGACCCCATGGGATGCCAATATTCTGATCCTTGTGACTGCATCATACACTTGCAGATCAATAAAAGGGGAGTCCAGTTTCTACATCAATCGCATTAGCTTGCTTAATAGGATTGGATTCTGAAACAGGAATCCAATTTGATTTGCTCTTGAGTCGCTGAGGCCAATGGCCAGACCCTGAATGGGAATCAATGCAAGAAGGAACCTCTTGGGGAAACATCACACCAGCCTTTCCTTTTCAAGGTGCCAGTCCCTGTGTGACTAGTTTAACTTCCAATCTGTATTTTAATTATCTTCACTAGACATTGTCAGCAACTCTGTCAAACAACAAAATGTCTAAAGCAAATACAAACAAGATGTACATAAAATGAAAAACATGTAAATCTTTTACATTCCTTTTTTCAAACATAAACTTATGCCACATTATATTTCTTAAGTATCAGTTTATTCCAGATAACACTTTCTGAGCTTCTAACATTTTAAAAATTATTTTTACCTATGTGATTGATTATCAAGGTTTAGCGATCCGTTCTGGTACATCTCCTCCAACTCTTTCCTGTTTCCAAAGTATAAAGCAAGGTCTGTGGCAAAGATGGCTTTGCGGATGATCTCAAGCACCTGTTCATATTCACTGGAGCTCAGGGTGGAGAAGATATTGTGCCCTTCCAACTATGGAAAAAATACAAATAAAAACCACCAATAACAAGCACAAGCTCTAATCTTATGACTTTTTCAGTTATTTGAAACAATATAGTCAGTCAATGACATTTGGCACATTAATGAAAGGTTTGGGGGGAAAAAAAACAATAGTTTGAAATGACTAACAAAATAGTATTTTGCCTACAGAAACAATGAAGTTACCACTTAAAGCAACTATTTCAACTACAATCACATCATTTACTACCACAAAAACCCAGTGATTTAAATATACCTAGTTCTTGCATATTTCTAATAAAGAACTTGAAAATGTAAAATATTTAAGTTAAAGACTTTTGCTCTTAAGCTAATTAAAAACTTCAGTAATTTTTATATTATACTGGAACCTTAATGGGCTTAAAAAGCCATTTATATATTTGTCCACTTCAGTTTGTAACATATCAAAGCATGCCTAATGAATAGTAATGTATTTCTCTGTATCCTACAAGAAAATGTCCTACACCTCAATATAATGCAAATTCAAACACATCAAAAACTCTATGGGTAAAAATACCTTTCCATAAAGCATAAATTACTGAAGGTGCAACAAGTCTAGGATCACCACTATTCTCAACGGAGGTGGAAATGGCAGATCATCACCCGAAACAAGACCAGAACACTGGTAATCTGGATTCTATTGGCTCAGAATATTCTTCTGTGTATTAATCTTTTAAAACAATTTCTAATAATTTCTTCCTCTGAAGATTTTAAGGTTTCGATTTGTAATTGAGAAAAAAAAAGCTTTTGTTGAAACTAAAAAGTTTGAGATAATTAAGACGCATTCAATTTGTAGATTCATCAATCACTTGATATTATTTCATTATTAGTCAATATAGTACTACTCTAAGTTGATTTTTAATTAATTTCACTTTTCTTAACATACATTTATTGACTTAAAATACAGTAAAAACAAAATGATTGAAGTATATTTCTTTACAAAATTAGACATCTCACTAAGACACTGTTTCGTCATATTCTTAAATGAAACTGTACATGCACCATTTGTTTTCAATTACTAGAATAGTCATATATTATTTGCTCTTAAAGTCTTAGACGTATTTGAATTATCATATGACAAATGCAACAAATGGACTCAGTTCTAGTTATTTTCCTGGCAATAACAGTAGTAAGGCCTTACAATTGTAGGAAATTCTACAGCTTATAAAGGACTTTCAAACACATGCCTTTACTTTCAAATTATAACACTTATATTATAGTTCAGAGTTCCCACATGGACTGTGCATGAGATGCTAAGAGTTGAGCCGTTTGAGCACAGGTTGGTTAGTGACCGATGGGAACAAGAGGAGGGGAGTCAAGCTTTGGGCTGGTGGCTGAACCCAATTATCATCCAACCTCAACTCTCCTCATTTTTGTTGTAGAAAGTCAGAAGAAGGAAATATTTAGTCTGATTCATGCTGTGGTATCTGCTTTCCTTTGATGTGACCATCACCTCTCCATCAACACTTAATGCCTGTGACCTGTATTTCCCACTTCATGTTTCAGTATGTCTGGCTGGTGCTCATGTACATATCTGCTTTCTGCAGGTCATGTGAAGGGAATCACAGTTGATACATTTTTAAGCTTTGTATTTGCATGCTCTACTCTCTTTATCACCAATAATTACCATCATAACCTGTTAAATTATAGTACATAAAAAGTCAAGTCTGCTGTTGAAATTTTTTTAAAAAATTCTAAAATAAGGACTCCTTAGCCTAGGCTCTATAAATTCTGTTGGGGACAAAAGAGTTATAATGTCACTATAATTCTACATAATACACTGAGTGTATCATCTGTAAGCTCATGTTTTTATCAGACTCCCAAAAGTGTCAACTGACCCAAAACTATGATTCATTTTAAATAATTTATGCTATTTCAGAGTCATTACTTTTCAGTATTAAAGGAAACTAGGTTAAAAAGCTCAGTAGAGGGCTTTTATAATAAAAAGGCATATCTCATTTTCTGTCTCCTTCGATATTTTACAAGAGTAAAGGGAACGAATGAATAAACAAAAAATGTCTCCCTTTTCTTTCAGAGAATCTAGCATTTGCTGCTACCCAAACTAAGGAAAATAAGGCAGGGAGATACAAGCAATGAAGCATAGCAGATAAACAGTATCTTCTTTAAACCTCCAATCTCACATTTGTTAACACATAATAAAACCTTATAATACAATGTAATACTCTTATACACCAATAGATAATTTTATTTTAGTTAAGTAGTTTGAAGTCTATGTTAATTCAAGCTAGCTGATTCCATTTTGGATGCATCAAGCATGGAATAGTAAACTTTTTATACCCAGGAGTGTTTTTAAAACTTAACAGGGATGAACAGCATGTAATTCTCATCTCTGTGAAAGCACACAGGCAGGCTCTGGTTGTAAATGCTGTGGCTGAGGTCTGATGTTAGAGAATGGAAACAATGTGGAAATTGGTGCCAATGCTTAAAGATGACCCAGGGACTCCCTTAAATAGAGGATCGTCAAAATACCTTCCAGCCCTTAATCATGAGGATCCTGAAGGCTCTGAGTATTCTGTCTACTCCTGGGGCATTAGGGAGCCACTGCTTTCTTGCCACAACTGTCTTTCCCATCACAATGTATAACATACAATATGTCTTCCTTTTTTTGGCAGACATTTAATCTGTAGTGTTCCATTTTGTGTAAGAACATTAGTAGTTTGGTAATTACTATATCCAAAGTCCCAAGCAGTATAAGTTTCATTTTTTAAGGAGTTGACAGTTTAGTGGAAGACATCTGGGCATAAAAGCATGTAATTAAAATAGAGTGGAATGCTCTCTATGGCTGAGCCAAATACATTACTATGGAAGAAGTCCTTTATTTACATGGAAGGCTTTTCCTTGGTGAGGACGTGAATTCTGAAAGACGAGTAGAGGTAGGAGGAGCAGCATGTGACGTGGAGCAGCTGAGATCACAGAAATAGTGATATTTGGTAGGAACTATAGAAAGTCCATACAGCGAAGCAAATTGAGTAGGGAAATAGGGAGTAATAACCTCAAATAGTTTTTTAATGGCTTGATTATGGAACTGAAATATTATCTTGAAGGTAATTATGAGCTGTTGACAATTTTAAGTTAGGTGGTAATATGATGAGATTTGTGTTTCAGAGCTATCATTCTAGCAACAATGTAGACTGGAGGCAGGCCAGAACCAAGGCAGGAAGGCTGACTGACAGATCTTCCTCAGACAGTTTAAAACATATTATTATTAATCACAAATAATGCCTCAAAAAGTCCTATGATGCTAGGCTCTATTAAGGAGATTCTTATGGAAAGACCCTGAAGCTCACATTTCTATGCCTGCATGACAAGCAGTCCAGGCCTTGATCTTCAGCAATCCTGCCCCACTGTGTCAAGCACTGCTATAGGAAGCCAGAGGTATGGGCTGAATTGTTTAGGTGCTTTAGGAAAAATAAGTCAATGATGCAACTAAGTGCATCAAGCACTCATGGCGGCAATGCCCTTAAAACACATAGAATATGGATTTTGAAATTTAATTACCTAGTACATAAAACCACCTATTAGGAAGTATTACAGTATGGTAATTAAGAGCACAGATTTTGGAGTCAAATAATTCTAGTTTTTAATGTCATTCTGTATTAGTTATGTGACAAATATATTACTTAGACTCTTTGATGCATATTACTCTCATTTGTAAAATGAAAATAATAATACCTATCTTATGGGGATATAATAAAAATAAGCCGTATTAAAATATGTGCAAAATACTTAAGTTTCTGGTTCACTGTTTGCACCCAATACATGATAAAATGATGACTATTGTAACAATGATGACTAATGATGATGATGAGGAGGAGGATAAAATCTGCCAGTGTAACTTCCACAGTCAGAATTAAGGGAAAGAGAGATGAACAAATATATGCCTAGGAATGAATCTGATAGCCAAATACTTTTCCATTCAGAACATATCTGTAGAAAAGGACAGATTTAAACTAGCCACGATGTCATATATTTCGGATTATTAGCACAGGTAGTGTTGAATAGAAGTACAATAATTTTGCTGTAATTGTAATACATAACAGTAAATTATACGTAGTGCAGACGAATTGGAAGAACTCTCTAGCTGAGTCACAGAAATAGTACTGCTATACAGACTAGTGAGAAGCCATGGGATCCCAAAATGTGGGTATAAATAGATAATTTTCAGAAATATGACCATATTTCAAAAGCAACAGATAATTTAAAATTAGTGGAATTTTTAAAATAGTCTTAATAATGAGAATAATCATTCCTAATTGGTCTATTTTCTAAAATTTTGGCTATTTTCAAAGTCAAAATGGGGTACTCACAGAAGGCAAAAGAAAGAAAAAAGTATAGTTTCAATATTCAAAATAATCATTAATATCTCATGAGTAAACAGAATAAACTGATTTAATATTCCAGCAATAGTGGTTCTATCACAATTACTAATTGTAAGCTAGTCAGTTTTAGGCAAGAAAACAAAGCTAACCTACTTTCTTGGATGTAACTGTTCCCACAAACAGTCTCCTCACTTGAAGGCATTCTGCAATCTCCTCACCTGAAGGCATTAAATTTGCCTTCTGCTCAGCGTCTGGGCTCTCTGCCCAGCCCGACATAGCTACTCACTTTCCTTACATAAAGCTTCAGTTTCAGGTCTCTGAGCACAGGTTCCGCCCACTCTGCCCTTCTCCCCATGCTCAACCTTCACATTTCCCCCTGTGCCCGTATCAACGGCCCCAGAGGTGGGCCTGTATGTCTGCAAGTGAATAAGGGGCAATGACTCTCCTTATCAGCTTCTAATTCAGAAAAGGTGGGAAGCCAAACTCAGAAACAGAAAATTTCAATACAATGTTAAAAAAAAAAACCTAAACGACCACTAAGATGTATGTATGCCTAAGGTGCTCTGTGCTGTGTAAAAGGGGTGCACTGATGCACCCCAGCAAGGTGGGGATGGACGCAAAGAATTTTACTGGATGAGGTCATACCTGAGTGGGTGGCCACAGAAAGGGTGTGGGGGAAGTACATGTGGAGGAAACCCAGCCAGTGGGACAGAGTTAAGATACGATCTGAAACTACAGAAGCAGAGTAGATACTGTGGTCCTGAAACAGACAGGGGCCTCTCATAAAAGACTTGTGTATCAACTGAGAAACCAGGAAATGACTCCTGACGCCCTGGGGAGCCACTAATGGCTTTTAAATAGGAGAAAAACATATCCAGGCATATATTTGGAGGAGTGATTTGAGAGACAAGCACTTGGAGAAACAGCGATGGATAAGGGGGGAAAGGTGCAAAAACAGACAAAATACAATGAAGGCTGAAACTGGGATGTCAAGTAGGGACAGTGCTTGACACTTTGGAGGCTGTAGAGGCCAGAGGGGCAAGATTACCATTTACTAGAGACCCAAGTGAGACTTTCCTCTCTGCTAAATGTCCACCATGATCTACACACTGTGATGGGCCCCAAACACCGTGAACACAATCCTGATGCCCAGCATTTGGACACCATGGGAAGCTCAGGGAAAGATGAGAAGGGAGATTGACCTTCTCTGCAGATGCTCTTATACTCACCCTTACTCCATGACTTAATCTCTTCCCACTGCCCACTCAACAAGGGACTACCTACTGCATTCCTATCACTGTGACCAAGGTCAAGGCAAGCTGTGAGCAAAAACACACTTCCTGCTTTTCTACCATGAGTAACATACGTGTGTGGATCTGTGTATGTATGTGTGTACAGCGGGAGAGAGAGAGAAAGAGCCTGAAGGTTAGATTTTAAAGTAGAGAGAGAGAGCCTGAAGGTTAGCTTTTAAAGTCTATTGTATTATTCTCCTTGCTTGCTGTTGTCACTGTGTTGGCTGGCAGTACTCTTCTGAATGCCCTGCTTATCCAATAGATGCCATTGGCAGCCATACTGAAAGCTGTCCCTCAAGTTGGCAAAACTATGATAAGCAGCTCCATATGCAACACACACCCGTGAGGATGCCTGACAGGGAACTATTTCCAACCATGACATGCAAAATTGCTTATGTTGTATCTGGCTCTGTGGCCAGAGGATGGACAGTGCCCTGCTCACAATCATCTATTTAGCAATGCAGATCAAGAAAGCAATGGGAAAATCTTTGGTGGATAAACAGAAGTATCACAGGTATTTATATCATGAAAGTACACATTGTTCTTATTTTAATGACTGGAAGTTGGAGTTTTTAACTGTTACCCAAGGATATCATCTTAATTAGTCAAGCTTGTAGGTGTCTTCTGATGAAATATAAAATCAGCAGGACTTGGTGGTAATGGGATGGAAGAATGGGAAGGTAAGGCTAAAGAAGGGGAAAAGGATGACTCTAAGGTCATCAGCCTGCATTCCTGGGTCAATGAGGTTGCCATCAAAGAGATAGAAAATACAGAAGGCACCTACGTAAGTATAACACCAAGCACAATTCCATATGGAATACACAGTTCAAGCGCTTGGGCAGAAGTCCGACTGAACACTAGGCGGAATCACACGGGTCTGAGAGTCCTCAGGATACCCTGTCAGTTAGAGCCACAGGTGTGCCAGGTAGTGAGCCAATGAGAACAATGTAAGGGCAGAAGTCAGGGGACTCGGGCATTCCTCACTCTACACTGTGAGTTCCAGAGGACAGGGATTTATGTTTGTTGTTTATCACTACACTCCCAGTGCCTAAAACAGGTGTTGGCAAATAGAAGGTGCTCAATAAATATGTTTGTTGTTAAACTGAATTTTAGGGACCAGTTAGATGAATCTGAAAAAACACTCAGAGAGGTATCATGGGGATAACTGCAAAATCAGCCAAGAGTACAGACATTTTCAGAAAAGGAAGATACTCTTCTGACTATTCCTGCCCAGGTAGATGGGGCTGTCTGTTTATTATCCCAATATTATTATTTCTCCCTGGGCATAGCCCAAATGGAAAGGTTTTTGTCAACCAAATATATACATTTGTTTTTTCAAACTGGTGGTGCTTTTTATCTGAATTTGCAGCAATCCCTTGTTCTTATTCTCAGCTCCTGTTTTTGCAGTGTGCCTAGTACCTTATCTTCTCTAAGCAGGAGAACGAATTTGCTGTTACTACTTCACCAATGACTGAAATTCCAGCCCTAACATCTGAGCCTGTTCTCCCACACCTTTTTAAATGCCAACAGCTTACCTGTCTCAACTTCACTTATTGCCATGAGTTCTTGTTACTAGTTCTGATCATTTTTAGGAACACTGCATTACATAATCTGCAATCTCCACCCTGCTGAGCGTTTGCCAAAATGGAGGCAAATCACCCTAAACATCCATTTTTGATGGCAGCAACTGGGCCAAGTCTTCCTAGGGCTTAGGTGGACCTGGAGCTTCCACATTCCCACCTGCCTTCATGTGACTGCCATATTACAAGGTTTATTTTTGATTCTACTCAGTAGCAATAAAGTTTGCAATTCTGACCTACCTCAACACTAATCCTATTATACTTAAAATAGGCTTTCTAAAGAAACTCTATGTTGGCTATTAAAATTCAGTTGTGATTAAACTGCTAGCAATGTTGGACTGTCAAATGCACAAATTCATTTAGAACATGGGATGCTAATTCAGTGACTCCTGATTATTTCTACGTGAAGTCATCCTGATGTTGTTTCTGACCTTCTTCTTATGCAAATAGTCTCAAATGATGAGTGAGGTCAAAGTAGATATAAGCTGTCATGAAGTTTTAGAATGTTCATCTATTTACAAAAACCATGTTTTACACGTATGTATAAACATGTATACATACATAGACACACACACATTTTATCTTGTTTAAATTTCTATGTATGCTTGTTTTATGCATGTATGTATCTATCTATCCAAACATATGTCATTTAAAAGAGCTGGTATGAAGCAAATGACAGGAATGGTGACTACATGTGGCTTTCAGGACTGAGCTGGCCCATGAGCAAGCTCAACATCTGCTACCTACTGGGGATGGCTTGAAAATGACTAAACTAGCTCCGTATCTAAAACACTGTTCACTTTTACCCAGCAGGTAACTAGAAGAGCACGCACAATAGAGTAAGGTGATCATTTACCTGCATAGGCCTGAGGAAATGAGACCTGGACAGGTAAGTTTCTGAGTTTTAAAAAGGACTGAGCGTGCAGCACTGCCAATCACGTGGACAGTTAAATGAGGAGGCACTAATAGAAGCCTTTGGAAAACTGAGGGGAGAAAAAAAATCCTGGCGTTTAGAGGAGGCCCAGCCTGTTCAACAGAAAAACTGCACCAAGTGGCAAAGTCTTTCTGCTTTGCAATTTGCCTGTGGCCAATTACTGGTAGATTCACTGCTGGCATTTTGCTGTGACATCCTGAAAACTCAAAACCCTTTCCCTTAGACACATCATCAGAAGATGTAACAACAATTTCTCTTCCTAACTAGAGATGCTGACAGTGAAAGGAACACACAGGGTCCACTCTCTTAAGCCGCACACAGATTATATTTTCAAAAATTGTTTGTGAGAGGAATCAAATCATTAGGATGTAACAGCTACCTTTTAAAGGTGAGTTTGAGAAAAACCATTTAAGAAAGAAGGAGCATATATATCATATTTAAGTGATATCTGGGATTGTCTATACCAATTACCAAGAACATCTTAAAAGCAAGAAAGTAATAAAACAGACAATGTAAAAAAATATATATATAAGATGGCTACATACAGGGCACTTAAAACCTTAAATTTATCTAATTTTAAAGATTTACTGTTTAATATGTTCTGGTTCAAGAATAAGTTAATCTATAAAATTAATTGATTTAAACTATGTAAAATAAGTATTGCTTTAGGATTACATGTACTTATTGATGTAGTATTTTAAAAACAAATGTGATTGCAAAATACATATATTCAAAATCTTTGTAAAGAATTCTTCATGCAAAAAACACTATTATTTAATTATGACTATAAATATAAGGTCCTACAATAAAATGTAGCTGTTGGTTTTGAGGAAGCCATACCGATCTTCCTTTTCCACCTATGAAGTATCACTATCTCTTAGGCAGCCCTTCAGACAAAGCGGGAGATGGTGCGAGGGAACTCACCTGGAGGATGGACACCGTCTGGGAGAAGTGGTGCTGCTCCATGGTGGAGGTGGAGTAGAGAGCTGCCAGAGGGTGGTCGAACTTCTGCAGGTAGCTGTTACTAAAGCCCCTGTGGTCCAGGTCATGACACAGACACGCAATCAGCAGTCCTTTGCGCTTTAAAAGATAATATGATGCAAAGATATTCAAAACACAGAAACAAACAAGAGCATACTTACAGCTCACATTCATGTCACATTACTTTCTGGCATTAATACAGCAAACACCCTTAGGGATATTTGAAATTCCAGATAATCTAACTTATTTGTAGCCCCTTTCTTTGTTTCTCTGCTTATGAATCTGACAGTCAAATTATTTTTTAGTTTCTCTCTTAACTCTAGGAAAAGGTGCAGGAGGTGTCAAATGAAAGGTGGTATAAAACAAATGTTCCAAAGAATTACAGATAAAGCAAAACTGCACAAAGAAAGAAAAGCCAGTTTCCGCAAAATCTATTCGGTATTAAATTCTAACAATGCTATTGCTATTATAAACAATAAATATAGTAACAGGTAAATCATATATCACATGTAAAAAAGGCAAACATATAAGAAAAAGGCAGAGCAGGCTAAAGGGAATTAGAGGGAGTCAGGTTGGTTATGAAATAAAGTGGGCAGGCAGGCCTCATGAAAAGGCCAGGTGTGAGCAAAGACCTGAGAGAGAGGAAGGAGAGGTGGGCGGAGTGTGGGAGAGGACCAAACCGGGCACGGGAGCAATGAGAACACACACTTGAAGACGAGTGTGCCCTGAGACTTGGAGGATTGGGAAGGCGGCCAGCGGGGCATGGTGGGAGAAGGCAGTGATCACGTAGGCCGTATATTCTCAGTGATCGGGGGAACTATTGGTACAGGGTTTTAGCAGAGCAGTGTTATCATCTTGCTTATATGTTTAGAAGATTATCCTGGCAACTATGTTGAAAACAGACTCCGGGGGATGAGAGATCAGTGAAGAGGTTTCTAAAGTAATTGAGACAAAATGTAATAGAACTTTAGACCAGGATAATAACAATGAAAACTTCTAAGGGGTGATTAAAGTCTGGATGCAATTTGCAGGCAGAACCAACAAGATTTTTTGACTGTCAGGGTGTGAAAAGGAAGGAGGTGAGGAGGAGTCAAATATGACCTCAAATTTTTTGGCCTTAGAAGCTGTCATGATTACTATCAACTGATACGGGAGAACTGTAGGTGGAACGGGTTTGAGGAGAGAGGTCAGGAGTTCATATTTAGACTGGGTGAGAAGTCTACTCAATAGGCAAGTGGAGATTTGACAAGTGGAGATTTTGATTTATCAGGTAGAAGCTATTGAAACCTCAAGGTCTGGAGATAGCCCTTGGCTGGAGAAATGAAACTGTCAGTGTTCATGTGGCATTTAAGGCCACGTGATTGGCTGAGCTCACCAAGGTCATAGTTTGAGGATGGAAAAGGGTCAAGGTCTAAGCTCTCAAGTATTCCACCTTTAAGTCTGAGGAAAGAGAAGGTATAAGAAACAACAACAACAAAAAACCCAAGGGAGGAACAGCCAGTGCATCTGCAGAAAAAACAGAAGCCGAGTGTCCCGGGACTCAAGTGAAGTCACTGAGTGCTGACCCTTTGATCCCACAAGGTGCAGGTCACTGGTGACCTGGAGCAGGGCATTTTCTGGGGTGTTAAGGTCAGAAGCTTGCTCTGAGTCATTTTCAGAAAGAATGTGAGGAGAGGATTTTGAAAGAGCCAGTAGGTTAACACTTACATGGGGTTTACTGCAAAGAAGAGCTACGAAACAGGGAGGGAGCTGAGCAGAGCAGCAGGTCAGAGCATATTCTAAGACGGAAGTCAAAAAGGCACGCTTACATGCAGATGGCAATGATCCAGAAAAGAGGGGTGAGAGCATGATAATGGAGGAAAAGAGAAGAGTGGGAAGCATTGCTAGGCAGTGTTCTCAAAGAGGTGGAGGTGACAGAGATGGTAAAGAGAAGGGTCAGCTCTGGAGAGGAGTGTGATGATTTAAGGGAGGTGTGCAAGGCAGAGCCTGCTGAGGGCAGACACTGACAGATGGGGGTGCTGCTACGGGAGTCAGCAGAGGTTCTCACAGGTGCATTTTTAGCGATATGCCTGCTTCTTCTCTATCCTGATAATGCAGAACTGGTTTTTCCCGTAACATAATTGGAAGGGAAATCTCACGAGTAACCCCTAACCCCATGAAACATCATGTTAGCAATCACAGTTGCCTGGCATTCTTAACATAACTGAATCACTTATGTTGTTAGTATCATTTTGTTTTGGGGTGGTTTCCATCTTTATGCTGTTGTGTTATCACCATGTACCTGCTAAGAAATCTCAAGGTTTTATAATCTTGCACAATACGTAAAAGTTATGATCTTTCCAGTTTTTAAACACATTTTTAAAATTGATATGACTTTCCGTAGTTTTATTAAAGGTGTGCTAGAATCATACATCTTAAAATAATGTATAAAGAATTACCCTTGTTATGCATTTCCTTTTAAAAAGATCGAATGATAACTTCTAATGGTTCTGTTAGAGATTAAAATTCCTCTTTATAAAATATGTTTTAAATATTTGCATATGTTACTTGGGGATTGTTTTTCAGCCAAAATGATCTGAGGTTTTGGGAAAATGTAATGATATAATTCCAGAAATGACGCAGGAACTTAAATGAGAGTCAACATGTGTCAACAGTTTTTCTCACTTATCTTTAAATTTTCAATTTTTGAATATGAATTCCAATGCTATTTGAAAGTATAATTTCTATAGTTCTTAAACTATAGAAGGGTATGGCAAAATGGCAAAATGAGACAATGAAATTGATTACTTAAAAGGAACAGAATGCAGAAAATACTGAAAGTCTCAATACACAGGTTTCAACAGAAAAGGATATTGTTTAGACAAACATGAAAAAAGAAGAGATTTCATCTGGATCTTTTGGGGGGAGGTTATAAATAATAAATTACTGATTAGGCTAAACTCCACTTGAACTAAAGATTTAAAAAAAAAAACAAATAGAGGATAATTTTTTATTCTTTCTTTAAAATGCTACGTTTTATTTGTTTTTTGTTTTTCCTAGAATGCATCTTTCGAGTTTTCCACTCAGACCGTGAATTTGGTCCAGTAGGATGGAAAAAGGATAGGATGGACCTTCACAAGTACTGGATTCTAGTTTAAATGTGAATCTGAGAAAAGCACAATTTATTTATCACAAAGATGACAGCTCCTTTCTCTGCCCAGTCATATGTCATCTAAAAGATGATACCAGTTTTACAAAAGATAGAAGGGAGGACTCAATCTAAGGTGTGAGTAGACACTAACAGGCCCCACGTGGTCAGAAGGAGGAATATCCTTCAAGGTCAGGATAGTCCAGATGTGGAATCAGCAACCTTTGTGGCCAGCAGTCACTAAACACTTAGCCTGGCTTTCAAGTAAGGGAATTTGACTGTGGTTGGTGAATGGAAGTGGCAGTCTCCAATTCTAACTCTGAGATTCTGAAAGCTTTGGATATGTCACTAACTCTGGGTATTTAAAGTCAGGTAAATTAATTAAACATTTCAGACCCTTTGCTTCCTCATGCTGGAGGAGATCAAAACCACTTATGTCTTCACTGTATTTAATACTCTAAGTTCTGAAATTGGCAGGATATGTCTACATTATCCAGGGCATATAAGCAATGAATAAAATTCACTGTTTATATCCCTTCAGAACATTTAAGCTTTAATAGAGAAGAGAGACCACAAAATTAGTGTTTCCTTGGGGGATATTTTGGTGAAGTTAAAATTTCTTTTATCTACATTTCTTATACAAAATAAGATGCTAAATGTTTGGGTATAGGAATCTAAAAATGGGCTGCTATTGATTTATTGAAACAAAATTTTTCTTAGAATAACAGGTCACAAATCCATGTCAACAGTGTGCTCCTGATAGGCAGTATTCAATCCACTGAGGTTACGAGGAACAGTGGTAAAGAGTGCACACCCACCTCAAGATCTGTGAAAAGTGTGTGGTTGTTCTGAAGTATGGCGTACATGCAGTGCGCCACAGTGACTGCATGCTTCCAGTTGTGATAGGGAACTCGCCGGTAGTTCTTCTTCACAGACATAATAAAACGACACAACTTTTCAAGCTCAAAGCTGCATGGAAAAGAAATTGTTATGACTGAAACCAGTAGCAAATCACTATGTTGTAGGAGAACCCTCTAGTTTAGGTACACATATGTCTGTACCCTTATACTGGTGCAGCTCTAAAGATTTCCACGCTGACTGAGTCCATGAGCACTGAAATCTCAATCACCATTTCCTTTCCATTTCTCCAGCAAAAAAGGAGAGAGTAAAGATTCTTTGATAGTATCTGTTCTGATATAGTAACTGTCCCGCCAGTGAGAAAATACCAGCAATAGCACACAGTCACCCATCGCCGGCCCTCATGATCTTCCTTAGTTTTATCTTCATTTCCGACACCCCACAGTGCTCAAAAGACAACACAGCACCATCTTACTAAAGGGTATTTTGAGCTAATATTTTCCAAAAGGGATACTCAGACTTATAAACTGGAAATATCATGAGACTTTTCTAGAGTGACTATACTTTCAAAGTAATTCCAAAGTATTAAGTATTATTATACACTCAAATTAAGTATCAAATGACCATATCCAAATACTGACACAGTATATAACATAATATGATGTATATTTTTACATATATGTTATACTTTATGTTTACATATTTTTATATTATGTACTTAAGACCCTACAAACCCTCAAAATAGATTTGAGACAGCTTAAATCAAAAGTATATATAAAACAGGGATTTCTAAAATATCAAGGAAGTCGAGAATTCATAAAAACTTAACATATAACCTGTGTTTTCCTCTACTGAAAATTTTCAAATGTCTTTGAAGTATAAGGCATGGCATTTTAAGAATTCCAACTGGTCAAACTCTCAGCTGCATTCTGAGAATTAACTGGAGTTAGGTATCCTACGTGCATCCTTTTGAAACACTCATTTATGAAAAGTCACAGCTAGAAAAGGCACAGGCTTCAAGAAGAATGCCAATTTAGTTCTAGAGAAACTAAGAGGCTCTATAAGACATTTAATTCCTAAATGAGTAAAAAAGAGCAAAAGAAAACTATTCTTGCATTTTAACATTGTGTGTTTACACTGTAAAGGATCAGTTATAAAGTCAGGAAAGGCCTCTATGATAGGCCAAGGTGAGTGGGGAAAGATTTGCAATAAAATGGTGCCGTAATTAAATGACTGACAAAGTACCACACTTTGAATAAGGAGACATGTTACTTTTTGATCTATCCTAATAGATATATGACGTTAAGTTGAAAGTTGATGCTAAATTTACACACGGTATTCTAAACATGGTTTTTAAAAGTATATAATTCTGGTTAGTAGTAACCCCTGTCTCTTTCAGTTACATAGGCAAAGCAATTCCAGCCTCTGTTTTTATGAAAGCTTTTTAGATTTTCTAACCAGGCTACAGCCACGTTGCGAGATAACCCAGTAGCCCCTACAGAGAATCTGAAAAGACTGTGTATTTGTACAATAATCTCAGCCCTTTTTATTTGAATATTTAGAAAAAAAAAGTAATGCATATATGTAATATTTTTAAATGATTATAAACAAAGATGGTGGTGGTGAGGCATCTACATAGAAGGAAGAAGAGGTTATGTCACCCAAAATTTCAAAAAGTAAATTTTAAAGGCATTCATACCAGGATGTCCCACAGGACCGATGAACCATATAGACAAAAATTCCAGGCCACATGTTTTCGAAAGGACCAATGTCAAAGTGGAATCTGAAATTTTAAAAGGGCAGTTTATCACTAAATGTAATTAGAATAAACATAATAACTAAAGAAAATAATTTAACTTTTTGTCCCAAGGAGCTTAAGAGACACCAAGAGCTCAGCCATCCCTTTTCCTGCCTTCTCAGCCACATCTCTCTGGTACTGAAGATTTCCAGGAAGAAATTCCACATATTCCCTTAGAAATCTAGTCCAATATTTGAGGTATTGATTCATTTTCTATTAATCTGTTTAAAAATGATGCTTCATTTGTTATCAGAAAAATTAAAAGTACTAAAAGGTATATTACAAATATTAGATACACATACAATCATAGAAGAGGGGGAAAGCCTCTTGGAGTTGTAATTGTTCTATCTCCCATTTTAACTGATAATAATTTCACTAATATAAACACCAAAGTTACAACCTATTTTTCATTTGCGAATTTAGTTACCAACATTAGACTTGAATAAACAGTATGGCATAATATATACTATAATTTTAATTGTAAGGCAAATATTAGACCTAAGTCACTTGTGAAGGTTGCCTATGTAAATAGTGTCCGCTTACACTTACAGTGAACATAAAGTTATCACAGGCCCCACCCTCTACTAACTTAAATATATTAACATAGGATTAAAAAATAAAGTATGAAAGTCAAATTATGACAACATTCTTAAATTTAATTTGGAAATTTAAATTTATATGGAAATGAGGACTTTCTGGTATCTTATGTTAAATGCCATTTTGAATGTGAAATATTACATGGTATAAAGTATGCAAGAGACTAATGAGAAATGCTAACGTTTAGGTTAACTCATTTCAAAACTGAGTTCCGATTTTCTTTTTTAAGATGATGAGATCTGGCCTTTATTTCCAAATCCTATCACAATATCAAATCACTTCAGAGGGAGGAAATGGCAACACATGGAACCCCACATGTAATATGTGTATCATAACGGTGACTCTAATTCTATAACCTGTTTCACTTTAAGTTCAATTCGATTAAAAATGGTTCCTGAAGAAACTGACAAAACAGCAGACTTACAATTCAATTTCCTTGCAGAGACGCACGGGAAGGGTGAACCGCATGAGGTCTTGCCACTCTTCTGCAGTACAAATGCTATGGTAGGACAGCTTTTCCATCGTTACCCGGTAAATGCACTCTGAGTGACGAATTCTATGATACATCTAGAAAGCAAATCCCAAAAAATCTCCCAAATTAAAAGAATGTTTAAATTGTTTTGTCACTGAAGTTCAGAATTAGGTTTTAAAGAATCAGAAATAAAATTAAAACCAAGGTGGAATTATTTTTTTATTATCCATATTTCCTTATACACTGGGATATGCATACATGACTCTGCAGATTCAAAGTAAATAGCTTTTAAAAATGATATCAGTGTTTTAAAAGTTTTTATCAGACATTATCTCTGGTTAAAGAGATTACTTGGCATTTGTCTTCTTTAAAATGCTCTGTATTTCTAAATTTTTAAATAATGAAAATTAAGCACATTCATTTTATAATCAGAAAATGATATTAGTGCTTTTAAAGATCAATATAAGATCTAAGGTACTTCTCAGTCTGTTAAAAAATTTTTTTTACTACATTTCACCTGCACATAAATTCAACTTCCTTGGGAAAGTTTTATCATTATTTCCTTCTCTGGTTTTTAGTCTTGACTGTATATTTTTACTATTTGGGAAGTTATTGGTATTACAGCAATAAAGTCAAATGAGTAACACAAGTTTGCATTCGTCACAGACAGTGCCCACAAAGTATATAAATTGGTAATTACATTAATCAAAATGGATAGGTATATTTCACCATCCTAGTAAGTTGAAATCTTGTGTATCTATATCTGTGTGCAAATGTTTTACAAATAATTATAAACTAACATGTGAGATAAAATAAAAACATGCAGTGGAGCCAAAGGAATGGGTCAGTATTTATGCCTGTGAATTATTTAATAGGTGGGATTAATTAGCAACTGTCTAAAGTAAATTAATACTGAAACCACAGTGGTAAGCTAGAGTAGCTTTCTCAACATTTTGCACTTTTAAAAGAACATTTTCTACAGGATAGCTCACCTTCTATAGGTAGGACTATCCAGTCCACATAAAAATATGAATGAAAGCCAGGCGCAGGGGCTCACACCTATAATCCCAGCACTTTGGGAAGCCAAGGTGGGTGGGTTATCTAAGGTCAGGAGCTCAAGACCAGCCTGGTCAACATGGCAAAAACCTCTCTCTACTAAAAATACAAAAATCAGCAGGGTGTGGTGGTGCATGCCTGTAATCTCAGCTACTTGGATGGCTGAGACAGGAGAATTGCTTGAACCTGGAAGGTGGAAGTTGCAGTGAGCTGAGACTGCACCATTGCACTCCAGCCTGGTGACAACAGTGGGAAAAAAAAAAAGAATGGCACTAAATAGGTTAAGAGTGAAGATATTTTCGTTATTTCATCATTTTTAAATATTTAGCTTCATTCTTGGTGATCTCAGAGTCCTCTCATGTTTGATCATGAAAATCTTATCAGTAAACAAATTGTGGAAATGCAAACCCAATGAATGAATATACAGTTAGTAATTATATGCACACAAACAGTATTAATGTATTATTTATATTATAAATAGAAATTAAAAACATTAAAATTAAGTGGGTATATTTTAAAATATTTTACTTACCAAATAAGTCTTCGTTCTTATTAAAAAATTACATATTTCTAAATTAAAGTACTATAATTAAATGTTATTAATAATCAACTGCTTTAATACTTTTGGAAATAGTGTTTTAAGGGATGGTTCAGTTTATTTCACGATTTAGATTTTCACTTCTACTATTTGAGAAAAGTATTCCTTAAGAAATATGTTGATTCAAATGGAATAAAGGTTGTATTGGCTGTGGCTAACGCCTGTAATCCCAGTGCTTTGGGAAGCAGAGGCAGGTGGCAAGCCCAGCCTGGCCAACATAGTTAAACCCTGTCTCTTCTAAAAGCACAAAAAAATTAGCCAGGCCTGGTGGCACTTGTAATACTAGCTACTCAGGAGGCTGAGGCACGAGAATCATTTGAACTGGGGAGGCAGGAGGTGAAAGTTGCAATGAGCCGAGACTGCACCACTACACGTCAGCCTCGGTGACAGGGAGACAGAGTGAGACTCTCTCTCAAAAAAAAAAAAAAAAAAGTTGTGTTGGCTGTTCTTAAAAATTACACCTATATTTTTGTTTCCTAATGACTAATATGCTTGGTTGAAATTCAAATATATTTACATTTTTCTTGATGTCAATCAGTTGACCCTGCAAACTAATCAGCCGCATTTTTATATATTATCTAAACGGTTTCAAAATCAATGAAAACTATTTGTGGAGAAGATCTGTATCAGTTAAAACCTGCTTCATACAACAAAATCATTAAAAATTCTATTTTAAAGGTAGAAGGAAAGGGGGAATAAAGAACAGATTAAATACATAGAAAAACAAATAGCAAGATGGTGGATTTACACCTAAACATAAATGTGAATGGTCTAAACATTATGATTAGAAGTCAAGGACTGTCAGACTGAATGAAAAGTATGGGTCCACTATATATTGCTTATAAGATTTCTACTTGAACTACAAAGACATAGGGAAAAATTTAAATGATGGAAAAGCTATACTATTTAATACTAGTCAAAAAAAAGTTACAATGGCTTTATTAGTAATAACAGGCAAGGTAGATTTCAGAACAAAGACTATTATCAGGAACAAAGAAAATCACTTCGAGTAATGAAAGTGTGAGGTCATTACAAGGATATAACAACCCTAAGTGCTATGCACCTAATAAGATAGTTTTGGTATACAAGAAGCAAACAGTGATAGAACTGCAAGTAAAAGAGACAGATAGATAAACCCACAATTATAGTTAGAGATTTCATACCACCCTTTGAACTGAACTTCTCAAATATCAACCCAATCAAAACCCTAGAAGGCTTTTCTATAGGAAATTAAAAGCTGATTCTATAATTCATATGGGAATTCAAAGGACCTAGAATAGCCAAAACAACTCTGAAAACAAAGAATGAAGGTGAAGAAATTATATTGCCTAAGTCAAATACTTATTAGAAAGTTACAGTAACTAAAACAGTGTGGTAGCGGCATCAAGGGACACAAACAGATCAGCGGAACTAAATACAGAAATAGGACCACACACACGGTTAGTTGATTTTCAGCAAGGTTGCAAAGGTGAGACCATAAAGAAAGGATAGTCTATTCAGCAAGTGGTTATTTATTTATCTTTTGGCCAATGGATAAAATAATCCTCCCTCCTAATAAAGTTGAGAAAGAGCATAGATAGACTTAGAAGTGTAGGCTGGACACTGCTGTCACCTTTTCCTTGCTGCACAAGGCCCACTCTGTCAGAGAAGACTCTGCTTCCTGGACAAGACATAACCTTCTCATGCAGGAACTTTCTGAAAGCTCCATCCATGTGTTAATAATCAATAAAAAATAATTTCTTTAATAACATTTACCCAAAAACATCAAGATCCAAGTTTTCACATTTTCCTCATACAACTTAATGGAATGTCACTTGCTTTCCACTTTAGAGATGATCGCGTAGATTCTGGTAGGAAAGTGAACCATATACAGGATTTACTCAGCATTTACTGTAATTTGTATTACCTGTAATTCAGTGAAATTCTACGGTAAAGCTGCTAATAAGAGTAACTATACGAGACAGTAAAGTAACTGCTACTATAGCCATGAATCCTATTGAGCACTTGTGCCAGGCTAAGTGCTTTGCATGCATCATTTCATGTAAATCTCACAAAACTCCTACTCCTTTTATTGTCATTTTATGTTTATGATCTAAAATTGGAATTTTATTTATAATTTTTAATGTCAATATATTATAAATATATAAAAATTAAATTTAAATTTTTATTCATTTATTTTTTATTATTTTTGTAATCAGTATAGGTAAATAACACTAATCACAAGATAAAATTATTTAAAATCACAGCAAAAAATAATTAGTTTTGGAAAATTCATAGATATTTACTTTCCAATTGCTAAATGACTTTTTATATGAATAGCAGAAAATAGTATAATCTAGGATGATTAGCAAATGATTTTACCATATTCATCCTATTACAAGTTACTGATGAAGGTAGAAAAATATGTCGTCTTTCGAAGCACATTTTGCATACATTATTAGCCTCTAACGCTGCAAATCTTAGAGTCGCTATCCAAGTAAAACAGAATTCTAGCAGAAAGAACTGCTATTTGTCTAAAACTGAAATTTACTTTGCTGGCCTATTAGCTGTAGGCACGAGGATACTGAAAAGGTATATGCGCTCAAAAGACAAAAGGATGAAGACAACATGGAAAACGGACTGTCAGCACATGTCTACCATTTGTTAAAAATACATCCGTTCACATTTTATAAAATAGCATCTCTACTCAACTGGCATACAAAAATATTTAATTAATGATTATTCAGAATGTTTTTCTTGGGGCCTATTTACACAGTAACCCTCATTACACTTAGAAATGACTGTGTCTACGAGACACTCTAATGTTTGTAGTTAACATTCATAGTAAACCTAGAGTCACTTTACGGTCAGGCAACTCTTAGAAATCTAAACTCTGGAATCATTTATTTGTGTCGAATCGCTTGTCCACCATTTACTAATTGTATACATTTAGGTAAATTACTTAATTCACCATTCCCCAGGATCTCATCTGTAGACTAAGGATACTACAGTACTTAGCCATGAAAGAATGTAAGGTTTAATGGGGTAACGGGTAAAGGCTAAGAACAAACACTGGCTGGTCACTGTGAAGCTCTCAATGCTAACAGCAATCTTATCTTAAGATGGATATCAGCACTGTGTTGCCATGCCATTTGACTCTTTTGTTTGATTTTGGCGAGAGTCAAGAACAGAGTCTACTTTTCTGCTGTGGCACTGGCACACTGAACTGGCTTGCAAGAGCCAATTATGCACATTTCTTCCCAACTCTGCATTCATTATGGCTTGTGAGTAGCTTCAAATTGTCAACATTGGGTGAATGTACACCAGAGAGGCCGGGAAACACACAAATCAGGATTGTTCTGTTTTCAGAGAGGTTGCTGTAAAACACTTATCGGCACACCACCTGGCACAGGTATTCTTTAAGATACAAGCAGTTTAACTTTGGGAACGTTTGAGATATAA